GTGAGGCCAAGGCAGGCAGATCGCTTGAGCTCAGGAGTTCGAGACCAGCCTGAGCAACATGGTGAAACTCCGTCTGTACAAAAAAATAAAAATAAAAAAGAAAACTTGTACAAGAATATTTGTAGCCACATTATTCATAATAGCCAAAAAGTAGAAACAACCCTCATTGTCCATCAAGAGATGAATGGACAAGCACAATGTGTTCTGCCCATACCGTGGAATATGATTTGGCCGTGAAGAGAATGGGGTACTGATGCCTGCTGCAATATGATTGGACCTTGAAGACACGATGCTAAGTGAAAAAAGCCAGACACAAATGGCCACATATTGTGTGATTCTATTTCTTTTCTTTTCTTTTTTTAGACGAAGTCTCACTCTGTCACCCAGGCTGGAGTACAGTGGCACGATCTCGGCTCACTGCAACCTCTGCCTCCCAGGTTCTCCTGTCTCAGCCTCCCGAGTACCTGGGATTACAAGCGTGCACCACCACGCCCGGCTAATTTTTCGTATTTTTAGTAGAGACGGTGTTTCCCCGTGTTAGCCAGGCTGATCTCTAGCTCCTGACCCCAAGTGATCGACCTGCGTCAGCCTCCCAAAGTGCTGGGATTACAGGCACGAGCCACTGCACCTGGCTGTGTGATTCCATTTCTATGAAGTGTCCAGAATAGGCAAATCTGTAGAGACGGGATACAAATAGACTAAGGGTTTTCAGGGGCTGCCAGAAAGATGGAATAGACACTGATTTCTCCTGGGTATGGAGCTTCTCTTTGGGATGATGGTTCTGGAATTAGACGGTGGTGATGGTAGTGAATGTACTCAAAGCTACTGAATTATGTTTTTATTTTTATTATTTTTTGAGATGGCGTCTCGCTCTGTCACACAGGCTAGAGTGCAATGGCGCAATCTCAGCTCACTGCAACCTCCGCCTCCTAGGTTCAAGCGATTCTCATGTCTCTGCCTCCCGAGTAGCTGGGATTATAGGCGCCCACCACCAAGCCCAGCTAAGTTTTGTATTTTGAGTAGAGATGGGGTTTCACCGTGTTGTCCAGGCTGGTCTCAAATTTCTGAGCTCAGATGATCCACCCACCTTGGCCTCCCAAAGTGCTGGGATTACAGGTTTGAGCCACTGTTCCTGGCCTGTATATTTATTTTTTATTGTCGTATTTTATTTTATTTTTTGTAGAGATGGAAGTCCCACTATATTGCTCAGGCCGGTCTCAAAAGTCCTGGCCTCAAATGATCCTCCTGCCCCAGCTTCCCAAAACACTAGGATTACAGGCATGAGCCACCATGTTTGGCCCTGTATGTTTTAAGATGGTTAAAATGGTAAATATTGGCCGGGCGTGGTGGCTCAAGCCTGTAATCCCAGCACTTTGGGAGGCTGAGACGGGCAGATCACAGGGTCAGGAGATCGAGACTATCCTGGCTAACACGGTGAAACCCCGTCTCTACTAAAAAAATACAAAAAACTAGCCGGGCGAGGTGGCGGGCGCCTGTAGTCCCAGCTACTCGGGAGGCTGAGGCAGGAGAATGGCGTAAACCTGGGAGGCGGAGCTTGCAGTGAGCTGAGATCCGGCCACTGCACTCCAGCCTGGGCGACAGAGCAAGACTCCGTCTCAAAAAAAAAAAAAGGTAAATTTTACATTATGTGAATTTACACCTCCATAAAAAAAAAAAAAAAAAGAGTGAGCCAGGCACAGTGGGTCATGCCTATAATTCCAGCACTCTGGGAGGCTGAGGAAGGAAGATTGTTTGAGGCCAAGAGTTCAAGACCAGGCTGGGCAACATTGTGAGACCTCATCTTTACCAGAAAATGTTAAAAATTAGCTAGGTCTCGTGGTGTGTGCTCTAATCTCAGCTACTTGGGAGGCCAAGGCAGGAGGATCACTTGAACCCAGGAGTTCCAGGTTGCAGTGAGCCATGATTGCACCACTGCACTCCAGCATGGGTGACAAAGCGAGAGCCTGTCAAAAAAAGAGAGAGAGAGAGAGGGAGGGAGGAAGGAGAAGAAAGAAAGAAAGAGAGAGAGAGAGAGAGAGAGAGAAAGAAAAGAAAGAAAGAAAGGAAGAAAGAAAGAAAGAAAGAAAGAAAGAAAGAAAGAAAGAAAGAAAG